TGGAATTTGAAAAGTAAAGCAGCAAGTAGTGACAAAGCAAATAATTACTGTTTATTGGCGCAAGCTGGCGGTTTGATTCATATTGTGCCTTTCTGTTACATCACAATCGCTCTATTCACTTGATTCACGTATTGTTACATTAATGTGACATAACAGAAAGATTTCTCATTGACTAGTCTTAAAAGGCACAATATAATCACAGGTAAGTACAAGAATGAATCGATTGCTTCAGATTGTTGCATTTGTGTTACATGAACCTCAAGCAATTGTTTAAATCTCATTTGAAAATCATATCAGCTAGTTATTTTGTATTCCTCTCAATAAAGTGAGCATTTAAAGAAATGGTCACATGCTCAAAAACATATATTTGTGGTTCTTTTCTCTGTTGTTCTTTTCTCTTTATATGGGGAACAGGGCAGAAAGTAACAGGACTTTTTTTTTTTAAATAAAATTGGCAAATTCATGAACCATAGCCTCATGTTATGAAATCTAATGATATGATAACATTGATTACATTCAAGGAGCTTAAACACTGAGCATTGAATTCGACCACCTCAGACATACTTACAATATCATCAAAAATACAGGAAAAGGTGAGAAAAGTTATTTTTGGTTTTCAGGCAACCTTACCTGTGGTCTTAATTGTGAAATGTGGACATTGTGGAGAACCCTTTGCTTGATAATATCATGTATGTATTGTAGCTACTTTTCATGCATACTTATACATATAATGTCCTATAGGCCTGAATCGCACCGATTCGGTGGAATGGCTCTTAAGTACAAAGAGTGAAAAATGCACTTAAGTACACTGACAAAGTATATAATTGTACTTCATTACTTTCCACCACTGACAATTACTACCTTGATAAATTGACAATATTTGAGATTTTGCTTCCACCTATATGCATTTGACTGCGCTCCTCGTCCTAGGCCTATATATTACGCGTAATCTAACAAACCTTTAAATAAAAAACTGTCAAAAATATGCTGTATATACGGAAATAACCAATAAAACATGTCGCTATGGAGCTAAACATACTTAATCTAATAAAATACGTCAGTGAAACAGTTCTTATCGAGCTAAATATACGGTTATAATCGATTAACCATATCACTGTCAAGATAAATACAGATTAATAATCCAATAACATATGTCGGTTATACTATCAAGCTACGTGTAAATGATATTGTAATAATAATTAATAAAAACATTTGTTATAAAACATATATAAATGTATTTTTAGGTGAAGTCTTGCTTGAAACTTATGGTTACCTTGAAACTGCGTCAGCACAATTACGTCTTTGGCCAAACAGCTGAGCGATACGTCACACTGGGGAAGATTTAGCACGACAGCGCCACCACGGTGCTGCCATGGTCTAGCAAACTGTTAAACATGAATAGTCTCTGATGTAAAGTACAGATTATAGCAGATTTCGAGAAAAAAGAACAAAAAAATAAATGGAACAAGGACTTTTGGTCTTCAAAGCATCGTCAATTTTCGGTAACCGCTTGTCCTATTCATCGCAGGACATACTCGCACACCATTCACTCACATACGCACAATTTGGACACTTTTGTAACTCCAGTTAACCTCAGTATGTACTGTGAGGACACGCCCAGAGGAAACCCTACAATGACACAGGGAGAACATACAAACTCCACACACATGAAGCCATGGTAGAGACTCGAACCCTACTCCCACCGGGGGAGATAACAGGGCTAACCACTGTATCACCCTAATCGCCATCATTTAAAACATTAATTAAGGCATAATATTACTAATACAATTCTGTTTGTACTATTGGTAAAATTCTTGAGAATACTGTGCATCTACTTTTTGTGTGCTTTAGGTACATTGTGGTTTTCTGAATTCTGCACTACTAGAGCAGATGTCCTCTGATACTGTACTGGATAAGGGATTACGAAGATGGATAGATGGCTGAATAGATGAAGCCCTCAGGTGTTGTAATATAGTTTGACCACTGTGTGGCAGTCACGAGTCGTGTAGTTTCTTTTGAACATCCCAGGGATCAGACAAAATTTGAATCTTTAAGTGCTAAAACTTACAAAGAGTTGCATTTTCCATATGTAACATAGAAACAGTACTTTTATGATTATTGCTTTATGCGTGGATTGCAGATCAATAGTCACACATACATACATTATTCGATAACGTTATTGTTTTTGAACGGAAAACTAATAGTATTTGATCATATCCGAAAGAATGTGAGGTTTACGTCACGACGCGGGGGATTTTGGGTAACGGAAATCATCATTTTGTTTATGCGCCGTGTTGTGAGCATCGCGCAGGTTTTCTTTTCGGGAGTTGGAGGCTGTGTTTTCTGTCGTGATTCTGGAAAACGTCGCTATGGTATGTCAGTGCTACTGCATCAAGACCTCCCATAGTAGGTCACACAGTCATTTAGGGACAAATCTCGAAAATGGAAGACGGTTTTTTTGCTTTTACCACATGGACTAAATACGAAAGGAAACAGGTTGAGGAGGTGATTAAACCACGCCAAATGGCATGGGTACCTGAACTACAAAGGAGAAACATCACTTTTAACAACGGTCCTGTGTGAAAGTGTGTTCTGAACATTTTCATTCGGATGAGCTCTCAGGCTTCGAATTTTGACCTAAATTGTACAATGTTCTCATTTTGCGCTCATTAGCTTTCTTATGATGTTATGTGAAGTGTAAACACCTCTGTGTCTGGCTGTGTGTGTGAGTGTGTCTGTGGGCTGCAGTCCATACAGGGCTGCAGTCCATACAGGGCCCCTAGTAAAATATATATATTTGGATACTTCACGATGAGCGGAATTCGAATAAATTGCACCCAGCCTAGTTTCCAAAGTCGAGCATTTTTAATTTCCATTTTATAAAACACTGAAATATTTCAAGAACAAATCTACTAAGTAAAGAACTACTTAAAGATGACAGCGAGAGCTTGGCGTGGCCTCAGTCGTGTGTGGAGCAGTGAGTAACATCAGAAAAACGCACAGTTGTAAAACCACAACAAACGCTCAACGATGCAGCGTATGTGTTACTTAGAGTGCTCATCATTCTCTGTCCTGCCAGTGCATTTCATTTCGTTCTTCTGCCAGCATGAGATGTTGAAATGATATAAAGACTTGCATCATTGTATATAACCAACAAAATTGCTGTATTTACAAGGCGTCCGGCATATGAAATGCTGACTGGATGCCATCTTTGCTTTTGAGCTCTACTCATCAGTCAGAGAGACACTTGAAACACAAGAAAACCGGGGACAGGGCTGGAGAGAAGCGGACATGGGACAAAATCCCGAAGACCAGAGTGCTAGAGGAACGTGTGCTCTGCATATCCAGGCATGTGGACGGTAATAATTCAGAATTTGAACTGACTGAAAAAGTGGGCCATTCTTAATAATGCGTTAGTGAGCAGTAATGGACTTTTTACGGCATTGCAGCCAGTAAAGAAACTGAAACCGATGTAATATAAGAACGATCACGTTTAAGGCGCCAGTCTGTTCGCGCTAATGCCATGCAATAAATATCGAGCACAGGGAGATCAATGAAGCCTCGCGCTATTACCGTGAAGCAGCGCAGCACTTTTTCTGGGGCAGTGATAAAAACCAACCACTAGAGGGCTGAACTTTTCTTTTCTATCTTTGACATAACAGCAGTATGATTCGAGGTCATGGGTGTGGTATACAGCAGATACGCATCGCAAAGAAATATACATTACACTTTCTTTAAAATGTGCATAGAGTTGCATATAAAATATGAATGATTTGCTTTAACAATAAACGGAAACGTATTAGAAAGCGTTGGAAAAATGGTTTCTTTGAGCTCACTTCATTTGGAAGTACACCCATTATCTAAAAAAAACCCAGTACACTCAGTCCTTAGCATTTACATATGTGAAGGGAAGGAGTGCGGAGATTCAGGAGGTTGGAATATAATGTTCAACATCAATATTACACTGCAGCGATTCGTATTTGGGCAGAAAGTTTTTTTCAAAGAACTGTAAGTTGGAAAAGAGGTTTTAACAGCACTTCGAACACTGGGTGAAAGCATGGCCCTACTTTTCCCAGACTAGCTTATAATTTATAAGGACATACATTCTCATGGTTACTGTATGCATTAATTGTTAGCATGTCTCTTAGCTGTAGGGAAAGTCTGACCATACAGAAAAGTGCATTAATGAGCTGGCAGGAAAACAAATGGGAAAAATAATAGACTCCCAAGTGGTGATCCAGCCTGAGATTTATGGTGTTAAGCAGAAAGCCGCCAACCTCTGAATCAGGGCACTCACCACGCTTTACCAAGTATGGCAGACCAGATGAATGGTGTCACAGGTTAAGTGAGGGACCAAATTCTTGGGGGGGGGGCTTTAATGGCTTAACCATGTGCTGTCCTGCCTCGGGCTGGTGAAGGAAGGTAGATCTTGGAGCGCCAACATTTGCACGACAAAACAACAGAGAAGGGGACCTTTGTGAGGGTCGGGGGGAGATCAGCAAGGAGGAGTTGGGGGAGGAGCAGATTTCTGGCTGCTGTTTTACTCCATTTGACAGGCCTGCTGGCCTTCCCACTCCGTCACGTTCTCACTCTCCGTCTTTGCATTCTTCCCATGGTGCTCCCAGAATTCCCTGCTTCTGATACCGTCTTTCCCTTGTTTGTCAGTTTCATTAGCTATGGAGACCGTGAACAGCCAATGAGCGGAAATAATGGAGATTAGGGCTAAGCTCAGGGAGGGAATAAATGTGGGAGAAGCAGTGGGACCCTGTAGCCCGGCTCCTTTCAGGGGCAGGACTGCTATGGAAGGGAGGCAAGCCTACAACTCACCTGCTCGTTTCACTTACCTGGGAGCAAATGCATATGCAATATATATAAGGAGAAGGTGGACGCAGGTTGCTCACACACCGGAAGCACGATACCACAGTGAGATTCGGCTCTTTAAGACCGAGTTTCAGGATCACACAGAAATATCACCCCTGGAAAAGTCACCCATGGCTCACCTTAAAATCTGGAACTAAATCTGGATGGAGCTCTGGTTGCCGGATTGCAGGAGCAGGCCACTGATATCTGCAATGCAGGAGGGAAGACCATATTTCCTGAAGGAGCAATGCGGAAAGCAGCTGTAAAAGGACATCCTCCCGCGGTCCGTGGCACGCTGCTGGTTCCCCCCTCTGGGAAAGCGAAAGGCCCATAACAGCATTACACGGCACTTTACCTCCTTCCTCCAATCAATAGAGCTCCTGGCATCGTATGCTGAAGATCAAAAACCTTACGCGTTTCAGTTTTAAGATCAGCGAGGTCCTGGACCAAACCCCAGACGCCAAGCTCAGCTGCTCTGTCTCTAGGATCAAATCACACACGGTCTCCTGCTTCAGGTCTTCAGCTGTCTTTCCTAAAAACGCACCTGAGCTGTCAGGTTTCCCGATATCCGATATTCTGATATCAGTTGCCAATTTAAATTAAATTAGGTTAATGCGGTTTCTGTCAAGCTTGCGATTGGTTTGCTGCATTTTGATCTTAGCAGTTGGCAGATAAGAGGGCATGAGCAACCCTCACAGTCATAAGCAGCTGGGAACCCAAAAGACAGAGCTAAGCCTGAAGCTGAATGGGGAGGATGTGATTTAAGGCCTCGCGTTTATCCGTCATCATCACTACATTCACGTCACGGCATTTCGTATCTAGCTAACATGTATTTTTCTTATCCAGTTGAATCAGAGTTAAGAGGAAGACTTTCTTGCATTTGATAGAAATTAGAGATACATACAGCCAGTCACACCGGCACAAAAGCGGATAAGCATTTTAACTCGATGGCGCGCAGCTGCGTCAGACGGGTGTCCAATCGCATTTACTCCGCTACATGCCGTGGTGCAACCGGACCAAGACTTATTAGCAATTTCTAATAAAGGCATGTGACATATCCGGAACAAGGCATACAACCACAGCCAAACAGCACCCCCTACAGAAATGGTGTAGCTTGCCTTTACATCGGACCACTCTGCTAAGCATCCCCAGACCAGTTGCCGCACTGCTTCACTCCGTCAGAGTCGCTGCTTCTGGCCACTCAAATTACATTCGTAACAGACACAAATAAGCATTCTGAGCTTGTTCAAAGGAATGAAGTAGGTCACATTAAAATAAGCACCAGAGAGCATTCAAAGTGGAGCGGTACGTGTAATTTATTGTAGAGATTACAAACTCAGCAGTGTAAGGAACAAGTTGTGAAGGGAGAGGTGAATGTCTGTACAACACACCCCCACGACGGGGCAGCTCAGGCCAGTCCATTCGTCTATGGGAGACATCAATCAATGCTAAGCATGCGCTCCCCCCAGACTGCCCCACCTGCGACAAGTTCCTCCCACCCTCCTCACCAGAAGGTTGCAGTCTTGGTGATTAATCAATGTATCAAAGGGATCTAGATTAGGATATACTTACATGTCTGTAATCAGCAGATCTATACAGTGTGTACAACAGATTAAACAGATGCAAGCTTTGCAAAGATATATTTATACAAAGTTTCTTATTTCCTTCTGTACCCTTACCCCCACAAAAAAAGAAAAAAAGACACCTTAAACTATACAGATGCAGGTTATTTAATTTGCATTAATTCTCAAAAGCAGTGCATTACAGGCAGTTTGTCAGACACACGTGGCCCTTCTGACTGGGCCGTACCACTTACAAATCTGGAAGCGGGGGGGTAAGGGGAGGTCAACAGTCTCTAAAGCCCCCGCTCTTAAGCTTGGTTTACAAAACTCCTTGAGTGCCAAAAGGAACATTAAAGCTGCAAATACAAAAGGCCTGAAAAGAGGTTGCTCTCTTCCCTTATACATATCTCTAGATGTATAAAAACAAAGCTCACGGCAGGGAAATCCTGTGACATGCCTCCCTTTTGAAAGTAGTTGCACTAAAACATGGGGGATTAAAAAGGCCCAAATCTTACGAACTGCTCCCTTGGAACTGGGGGTGCGATCCCAGCAAACCAGTCCGGTCCATTTCCGGACACGGGGTGCAGAAGACCATGCTAACAGCTCAGCTGCAGAGCGCGACTAAATGAGCACACATTGCACTTTGTTAAAAAAAAAAAAAATTAAATTACATTTTTTAATTAATTAAACAGGCTTTTGCTTTAGACAGCCATCCAACCAAAACTGCAGTACAACCTACAGAGTGTCAACTCAAGGGGAAGAGGCTTAGGATTCAAAACCAGTAACACAAGTACAGTAACCCTTAAAAAAGTTTAACCAAATAAATCTAGTTAACAAAGCTAAGGTAGTTTCCTCCACAAATAAAGCCTTTTATATTTATTATGCATGTGATATACTTTTGTAGCTTTTGTTTAGTATTAGAAGACACACAATAAAATGAAATCGGCATAGTTTAGTGCTCGGTTCTTTCTCCTTTAAATAATTATGATACAGTCACACTTCTAGAAAAGAAGATTGTCGGTACAGAATTGCCACAATTCCTATAAATCTGCACATGAAATAAAAACCTCAATCTTCCGGCACTGCACCTACATCTGCGCCCCCCACCCCCCCATAGCAAGGCCAACCCCAGAAAGACGAAACCATTTGTGTCCAATCTGCCCAATATCTCTCAGTTCCAGCTGATTGGCTAAAATCAGAAGGGGTGTGGCTGGGAGACTCGTCTTCCGTTCCCTGTGGCTGGAGTGTGGGGGTGGGCTCCTGGAAGCAGGAAGTCAGGTGGAAAGACAAGGGCAAGGTCATATCTCCCAGTCTGCTCAGCAGATCGGGCTTCGGTGAGCCTGCAATGTCAGTACACGTAGCCGTCTGGGAACGGCAATGCTGCTGCGCACTGCTCCACCCCATCCACTAGGTAGGGGGCGCTCTCATCGTAGTGAGCCAGCGGCAGGGTGTCGTCCTCGGCCCCCGAGGGCAGGCTGTCTGTGTCGGCCTTCAAGTTGGGCCTCTGGTTGTCGGGGAAGGCCATGGAGAAGAGGGCCTCGGGGTCGCACACAAACTTATAGACGTACCGTTCCCCAGCAACCTGGAACAGAGCAGAGCAGACATCGGTCTTTAATTTAGCTAGCAAACCAGAAGGAAATCAGGATGTAAATGGATAAAAATATACGGTAAGGAAGTGGAACGTAAACCTGCCTTTACCTTCTGCATGATTCCCTTCTCATAGTAATAACGAAGCGAGCGGCTAAGTTTGTCATAGTTCATGGCTGGCCTGTTTTTCTGGATGCCCCAGCGCCTAGCAACCTGCAAGAGACAAAGGGCACACACTCAGTCTCCTGGGTCCTAATGCCCACCCCGTGAGGCCAGGGGATCCGAACTGCCACAGGATGCCATGGAAACGTACCTCCTCGGGCTCGATGAGCTTGAACTCCATGCCGCGGCCCGTCCAGGCGATGAAGTGGCCGTTGGCGGGGTCGTCCAGCAAGGTCACCAGGAACTGCCAGAGCTGCAGAGAGCCCCGGCGCTGGTAGGGGGGCCCGTCACGGAACACAGAGGGCTCCTGCTTCACCTTGCCTATGCGTGGGGGGGAAGGAGCCGTGTCAGGGCGGAACGTCACACCAAGGCGAGACATTCAAGTGGAGAGGGGCTCACACCATGTGCTGGGGGGCCTGTCCACCGCAACCACTCACTCCCCCTCCCCCCCCCTCTGAGGCAGAGCATCCACATGCCACACTGTCCACCAGCCCAAACACCTCGCCGAACTTACCATCCAACCGCTCAGGGACCACACAGGTGTCGTCATAGTAGAGGTGTGGCTCTCTGTCAAAGGCATAGCCTAGGACACAAGGGGGGGGGGGCAGGTAAGATTGGGGGGGTTCATAATGTCCCCTAAGCAGGTATCTACAGCTAAGCAGCCTCCCCTTTAAAACGGTGTCAGCAAGTCGACGTCCATCCAGATCAATACCCAAACTGCTCCTGTGACGTCACTCGGTTTCCATTTGCAGCCCTTTGGCCGAGTGACAGGCGACAGCTATGTTATCATACCCCACCCCCCCAAGAACACACTGCATGCTTTACTTACTGTCATGGTTGTTTTGGTAGAAACTAGCTGCTCTCCGAAAGGAGGACTGGCAGTTAGGCACTTCTGCAAGACAGAAAAAGAAATTTCTAGAACCAACAATCCCCCACCACTCAAGCCCCTATTTGTGCTAAAAACAGATTTAATAAGGTATCTTAGGGACGTTCCTGCGCGTCGCTCCACAAGCTGCTCGTTCAATTGACATCAAGGGTGTCATCTTCGCGCTGCCTTTAAATTTCATGATCGTGTTTTTCCCCCCACTTCCTACAAGTGATGCACTTTCAAAACACGCTGGGATAGCAGCACAGAAGTGTGGCCCACTTCCAAGAAGACAAAGGGCTTTCACCAAGAAGCAGGCCCTGGCGAAAAAGCCAGTGCAAAAGTTCAATCTGGGCAGGACAGCCAATCATAAACTACATGCTCAAGGGACGACCAATGAGCTTGAACATTAACCAGCAGTCACGTGACAAGTCCGCACGGCAGCATCTCCACCCTCCCTCACCCACCCTCAGCGATCACGGACGATGTGCTCTCTCCGCGGCCAGCCCCAGACCATCTGTCACGGCACCGCCCTGGGGACCGCGCTCTCCACACTGTTGCTGGGGAGTCTCCATCATGGCCATTTAAAGATTACAGTTGTGACCCCCCAGCCCTGCAAGGGCTGTCATTTTGTACTGTAGGTCCCCAAGACTCAAACGGATGAAGGGAGATTGGTGGTCTAAAATCCCTGGGGGGGGGGGGGGGGGTGTCACGCATACGCACACACTACCTTTGTGGTATAGCTTACGGGGAGTGACTGCCAGCCCAGCAGATGAAAGCCCCATCACTCAATCACTAAAAACTTTGCATTGTTGCGATTTATTGTGCCGCGACATGCAGAGCTAAAAATGCTCAAGCTGCGAAGTGCTGAATTCAGTCTGTAAGGCCCCCACACTCAGCCTGAACGACCCCCCCTCATGGACACAGCCATTAAACACGGCTCACTGAGTCGGGGGGGGGGGGGGGCACAGAGCAGGTCTTTGTGAGTCTTTACGCCCGGGTTTCATACTAAGGTGCCAAAAGTGACAGAGCAGGGCCAGGACACATTCTCACGCCGTCTCACGCATTCCAGGGTGACCCGGCCCTCTGGCACGTCTCCATGACGACCTGCCGATCGCTCGCCGCCACTCACCAGAATCAAAGCAGTAGTCTCGGGGCTCCTGCTTGATGGGCAGGGGGGGAAAACTTGGCTGGGGGGGGCCCATGTTCGGAACACCCTGCTCGGCATAACGGGGGTCCAGCAGCTCCTGTTTGAAGCCCTGGGGGGGCACGGGGACGAGGGGCTCGGACATCTGACGGTGGTAGGCCGGCCGCCCATCACGGGGTGAGGTGCTGGGGGCCTGGGGCGAAAACGAATGGCATCCTTGGGCCTCGGAGGGGGGAAAAGGCAAACAGGGCTCCGAGAGCTGCCGGTGAAACCTGTGGGGGGATGGGGAGTCACCATTATACAGAGAAACACAGAAATTGCAGGAATGCTCTTGATGGCAGATCTGTCACCAGCATGGCAAGAGCTACAGATTGGGGACAGGCAGTCCAAGGTTTAAAACCAGTTCAAACTGGTATAATCGGCAGGACAGATGCTGCAAATGATTTCCTGCACTTCTGGCCCAGTAGCTGCTGTCGGAGGGATAAGGGCTGTGGATGGATGTCTGTGTCAGCCAGCTGCCCCCCCCCCCCCCCGCAGTATCAGCTGCCCCACATTCCCTGGCGTATCACCGGAGACCTGGCTCTGGGAGGCAGGGCAGGCTGCCTATTCCCACGGGGGTTGCGTTAAACCTTCTTCACCACCCAGGGTTGGGGGGGAGGGGGCATAGGGACTCAGCCGCAACCCCCCCCCCTCAACAAAACATTCTCAGGAAATGGCAAACTGCAAGCCAAACCCCTAACGTGGTGTCTGGGCATAACGACATCCAGCAGGGGCCAAGGACTGACCAGCGGCCCCAGGGACATTTCGCCACCCCCCACCCCCACCCCATCCATGTAACCTGATCACCACGAGCACTGAAATCCCATCACGGATTTGGCAACCAGGCCAGAAATTTGATCCATCGCCTTTTCCTCTGCAGATATTGTCCTTGCTTACATATTTACACAACGCGGCGAGTTTCGGGAGGACAGGACAAGCCGGAGATGCCAGCTCACATCATCCAGGCCCTGCAAGCCCCCATGTGTTGGGGGGGGGGAGGCACAGAGGGGAGGGGACGCTCACTCACCTGTGCTCAGAGCTGTAGGCTGCATCGCCGTGGCTGACAGGCAGACAGGGCACGGCGAAGGGCAGCGGCCGGCCAGGGAGGGGCAGCGGCCTCTGGCGGGTGGGGCCGGGGGGGGCGGCGTGCCCGTGGACGGGACGGGGCCCCTGAGCCTGGGCAGGGCCCGGGGGGAGAGTCTGGTCCTGGAGCGTGACGGAGCCGCATGGGGAGACCGGGGTGGACGGGGGAGTCAGTGGCTTGAACCCGGTGACGGGCTTCCTGTCACAGGCACTGGGGGGGGGGGGGGATAAAGAGCAATTTGGTGAGCACACTGTATGTAACAAAGGGCTAGCTCACAATTGGGGTGTGGTCTTGGTGCAGTGCGGGGGGCCCCAGAGGGGGATGACCTGGTGCAGCGCGGGGGCAGGGGGGGGGCAGGTTACCTGCAGCTGTAAAGGCACTTCTCTCCATAGGGTGCAAGGCTCTGCTCCTGTCTGCAGGGGGTCAGCTCCTTGGTGGAACTCACTTCACGTTTTATCTTGCTTGGAGGGGGGCCATGGAACATCACTACATAGATGGGGGGAGGAGCAGGTTATTATGAAGCTCATCACTGGACCAAACACATTAGCTGCATGCTGTGATCTGCTGGTCGCCAGTCACCCTTTCCCTGGACGGTGGGTGCAGGCTTCAGCAGACCCACACAGATACACAAACCCCTCACCATCCCCAGTCACTACCATTATATGCACAGTCCAGTTCTGAGTTCCATTACAGACCAGTCAATACTCATGAATCAGTGCGGCTGTAATTTAATGATTGCAAACGATTTTCCCCCTTGCTTTGAAGCCATTAGCCTCTGGATCTGCTCATTGGTTCCTATTAACCACATCACACAACAGCCGGTGAAACCGTATCCCACCCCCCCGCCGCGGGGATGGCAGAGCCCACCCCCCTGCGCTTCTCAGCAGACGTGTGGGGTTACCTCACACGCTGCAAGTCCGCCGCCCCTCAACCCGAACACAGGAGACACGGAAAATCTCAGCTATCGGTTTGTGAACCTGGGACTATGCAGGTTGACGGGCGAGTTAAGGCTGGGCCAGTAAACACTGTCCCCCAGCAACCCGCAGCCCATGCTAATCCACCGCATCGGGCACCACAATGGGCACCACAAATGGGCACCTTCTCCTTCTGCAGCCTTTTCTAGGCTCGTCTCCACACGTGGATCTTACTAGCAGACTCGCCTTCCAGTGGACGGCGGCTGGGACAGGTGGCCCCGAGGTGGCTGGGGGCCTCCCCTCTGACCCCCCCGATCTACAGCCGACGGCAGGCGGCTCAACCAGTGGCCGGGAGTGTCTGTGTGTGTGTGTGTGTGTGTGTGTATGTGTGTGTGAGACAAAGCATGAGATGAGATTAGAGGCCCCTCTCACGTGACCAGTTTGATGCCAAATGGCAGATTAAGCTAAGTAAACAAGGAGAATTGCTCTCCACACGTTTAGAACAAGAAGCGAAGGACATTCAGGGGTTGAGACTTGGCTAGAACAAAGAACACAGCTAAAAAGGAAACAGTCAAAGCATCCATCTGTGTCTCTAGAACTTTGTCCCAGACAAAGAAACCAACCAATCACAGGCTTGTTAATGTACTAATGTAAGGGACGCGTTTAACCAACCCCAGATTCACAATGGCAGCAGGTCCAGGGGCACATTTGATACAAGTGTGGTTGGTGGCTGCACTCCTTTATACCTATTCCCACTGTTATCTGATGGAACCGCCAGCAGGGGATGAATTATTAACCCTAAGAGGGAGGAGGATGGTATTAGCCCAGAAAGCCAGGCCACACCCACCGTTCCAGCAACCACTAATGTAAAATAAAAAAAACAAAAATGTACTCACGATTATCTGACTGGAAATCTGGGACAAACTGTTCATCGTCAGGCACCTGAGCTGTGGGGGGAGGGGGGAATGAATCACAAACAATATACAAATTGAGATATTAGGTTACCTCTGCAATCCAGACTCGAGATCCCCCCCCCCAGCCAAACAAAAGCTAAACAAACAGCTGCGATAATGCAAAATTCCTGGAAGTGACTGTCAATTGAAGGAGAAACATCTCCCGCTTTATTATAGCTTATGCGTTGTACGAAACACTCCATGGGGACGCTGGCAACAGCTCTGCCTCTGGACAAAGTACGGCTTGTGGTGACTGTTCAATTTACAGGGTCGTGACTTCAAGGCAGGCGAACAAACCAAATCTTGCGCCATGTACGATATGCAGGGGGGATTTAATTGTGAGCCAGGGGACTATTAATAGCATTTTAAATGCCCGTGTTTTTCCTCAATCAGCAAGAAGCAAAACGACGCAAACTCCCCCAAAGCTAAACGCTGCCAACAGCCCTTACAGCCCCCCCGCACAGCACCGGCATTCTCAAAGCGCAGACAGACAAAACCCAATCAAGACAATTTCTAATTAGCACACTTTTTGAAGCTTGTATCCTGGTAACATGGAAAGCTAAAAATAAGAAACTCTTTGGGAAGGTGGGGAGAAAGTATGGAAATTGGATTCAATTTACGTCACAATGACTTTTTCCATGAGTGATATTCGTGGGAGCGATAACCTCTGCCAACAGCCAGAGTACGGGCAGAGTGATAACTACTCGCGCTTCCATGCTGTGGAAACAGCCAACCCACAAAGAAAAACTGCTCCCCATTCAAGATTAAAACTATCCCCAATTTAATTTTACCCATAAATGCAACAAATGATCAAAGAGCAGCATATGTGAATAAGGCCTAGCGTCAAGGCCACATCTACATGCCACCTATGAACAAACATGGCAGCCCATGATGGGTGATGAGAGAGGACTTTTTGCCTCACCTTCGGCAATCCAAATCTCCTGCAGCTGACTGAGGTCCTGAAAAAGCTCTGCAGAACAAAAGAGACCACCAGTTTGGTATGAGATCATAGACTGCAAGTCATGTGGGGCTTTCAGTCTGTCAAACCCAGACGCTAGCAGACTAAATCATGCATTACACCACCCTAGGAGAATCAATGTGGCTGCACTCAGATCGTTTGTCAAAGGCATGGAGAAAATGGGCGCAGACGAGTATGGGCAACTGATTTAGAAGAGCTGATTCCCACGTGAAATCCCTTTAATTTTTTAACCTTAGATGAGATCGGGTAACCAAACAGCAATACTGCTTATCCTCATGAGTTAAGGAAAGGAGAGAATTGTAAATTTACCTTCTGTGTCTTGGGCAAGTTCAGTATCTACAAACTTCCTTTTTCTGTCATTTACTGGTCTGCTACATGGTTCCTCCACGTGAGATTTATGCTGGGGGAAAAAAAAAATCATATTTATATAATGTGCGCATATAAAAGCACTTGTTTCAGCACTCGTCTCACAAAGGATTACCTACAATATCACAAAGGATCAAACTGCATCTTAAAGCATGTGTCACCAGCTGGAAACGTGATTATCGTGGCATAAGGAAAAATCACGTAGGATCATGAGAGCAGGAGGCAAAGCTCTAGGGTCCTCACAAAGCACCAAGGCGAAATACTCACACTGGGGGCAACCAGAAAAGGGACTTGCTGATCGTAAAATCCATCCATCTCGTCCTGGTTTTCAGGATTTCAGAAACTAAGGGTCTTCGCTTAAAGCGACGGCCGGAGGAAATGTTCACTTCTGTCCTGAGAGCAAATAAAAAAAATTAAAATCACACGTGAGTACACTTCAGTTTCAGAGTCGTATGCAGCCATCCATCCATCCATTTGTGTGAACACAGGAAGCCTGCAAACCATGCCAGATTCACCCCGAAGGTCTGTCCATCCCTACTTTGTCGTCTATGGCAACAGCCCCACTGACCGAGCACGCTGGCTGGTAATGTAAATACAGTATGCCGCGGCACGACAGATTTAAACCTTACATAAGCAAAGCTACCATCTGTGCTGTTACTTGTTGGAGTCGAGCGATAATCACTTGATCGACTACTCAAGGGATATAAACGCACTTTTATTTGGTGCATCTTTATTTAAGGCGCACGACGTGCTGATTAAAGCGCATGTGGTGTACAGAGAAACAGAAGCATTTTTCATTATAATTAGTGACTGACACATGCCCTTCATGTGATGCACAATTAAGTCGAAGACCAACAATATTGTCTGAAGTGTCGGATTTGTTTTAAATACGAAAGGGCCACAGCTGCCGCGACATGAGTCTACGCGGCAGTGAAGTGTCTCACTATGAGCAGGGACGCAGATCTACGGGGAAAGAAGCCAGAAATGGAGTAGCGTGAGTCTCCACATGGACAGCACAGATCGCGAGACACCCACGCCAGCAACATGAGTCATGTTTAAAAATCAACCATGCGTCTTGTTAACAGATTACGTGTAAAAATCATTCGGACTCTCTCACCATGCATGCGTTTTGGATAGTATGTTAGTTAAAGGTGACTATTAATCATTTTTAAAAACAACACTAACAGCACAGACTCAGTTCTGATTTATCCCAATTAAATTATTGCAGTGTCCTGCAGTACTGGAAAACAATTCCATGTATGGAACCAAGCTCTGTGCTCCAAGAGATCAGTTATCAATTAATTTAATCCGGGCCCCATATAAAGGCATAACGGCCAGTCGCTGAGCATGAAAGTTATCAGAAACCGGGCACCCGGCTCGGCTCCATAAGCAAAAGCGATAAAGCTGCGCTGCTCGCACTCCTTATATAGCACTCACCGATGTTTACGCCTAACATTACCAAAGGAAAGGAGCTGGTTAAGAGGAAGCAGGATCCGACAGGTCAGACTCAAACACACTAAACGAATCCTCTACGCACTTCGCAGTGATTTTTGTAACTGGAGGCGCTGCTATACTGGAAAGTTAAATATTCGATATTCAAGATTCTTGCGGTTCTACCAATAACATACCAAATATGAAACAGTCAAAATTAACTATTTTAAATGTAAACGTTAAGTAAAAGTGTGTTACATCGAAAATTCAATAGACATTAAAGTACTATTTAAAATACAAACACAACTTGAAATATTAAATAGGTAAATGACCTGTAAAGCAAATTTTAAAAAATCACACTTTCACGGTAACAGAACGCTTTTCATGTCCAGCCAGGCGAGATGTGAAGTCCTGCTCGCTCACTGTATTACCCTATAGCAATGAAAGCGTTAAAATCTCAGATCAAAGCAATTGCAGTTGACGAGGAGAAAAAAAGCCAAGCCAACCCCCCCGCCCTTTTCCTCAGCGCCCCCACCCCCCTCCCCCGGCCCCTTGTTTTTCTCAATGAAGTGAAACTCGATCCTTCTGTTACAGGAAAAAAAATCCCGACCTGTCCATTCATTAAATCACAAACAGTCGAAACTCGACTGACCCCGAAGGTAATACAAAGCCCAGACAAGCACAAAGGCATATCAAATGCAAACCAAATACTTTTTGGCAGTACTGGAAAATACATTTAAGAACATTGTGTAACTTGCAAAGCCGCAGAAAATGGTTGTCCGAGTAACTGTACACTTGAAGAAAATGGCGTTCGTTTTCCCTTTCGCAGATGCAGTGTAAATCTGTTGCAACTCGATCTAACTTCAAATGTGGCTTATTTACTTGCCAGCCAGAATCTGTTCCGAACTGTCGTTTTTCTGGTACTACAATTATGATTAAACTTACCCTCCGAGATCTGTATTTCCTTGGTCTTGTAAAAAAAAAAATGTGTTAATTGTATATCCGACCAAATAAAAACGTATACGTCTTAGCTCACTGATCAACCGATGCGCGCTCTCCGACTTGCAGAACTTGAATAAGCTTTTCTCAATGGAAGTGCTCGGTTTTTCCCTAGGGCTCCGAGCGGGGCGCTGAAGCACACGCTCATTGGTACATAAACAATGCAGTTCAAGGGAATGGCCAATAGGATTTTCAGAGTCACTAAATTATGCATGGTTCTTTAAGACAGCCAATCGGAGCGTCTGCCTAGTCTGTATTTATGAATGACTGGGTTTCATTCACTAAAAAATGTTTTCCATGGCCGCGGAGTCCCTTAAAGCACTAGGCGTTGGTTCGCTGTGGAAGTAATCTGACCGCAAATTCCACGTGATTCGATCAAAGCTTTACTTTGTTTATCTTTTCTTCGGTGACTCAGAAATGTAATGAAAATGTTTATGCTTGTATTGTGCTGAACGCCACGACAGCACACAAAGTTTCTTTCATGGATGTTTACTGCAGCTGAGTCTGAATATTAACAACTTAATACATTGTATAAACTTATTTTCTGTTTATTACATTCGTTCTAAAATGTAAATAGGGTTACAAACTACTGTTTAATAAACCAAACGGGTATTTTGTTAGAATGCCTTTCCCCCTTCTTTGAATATGAACTTGCAGATTTAATTCCTTAATTTAATATATGACGGAAAGCAAAAGCGATGCACGCCTGCCGTCACATAAATTCTTAGTGTCAACAACCGTCACCTGTTTGTTCTGCCTGAGAAGCATGCAATGCGCCAGTTTGCAATGTTCTGCAAAAGGCCAGGGGGATCGAGTTGAGCGCGCGGTATTCCAAAGGCATAAAATGGCCTCGCAACCAGGTCATGGGACGGTTGGCCTGAGGCTTCAGGAATGCCTCCGTTTCAGGTGTCCCGAACCAGTAGAAGTCAGTCAAATGGCAATTTCCACGTGTGATTAGGACTGTGACCTGCCCCGCTGCTGCCTTTTTCTACAGGTACCTTGGCAGATGCACATTTGTAATATCACATCTGGCCCTCCGGGGGGCGCTTTCACGTACATCTCCGGATTTGTTGTTAGTTTCTGGCTTTATACAATATCAATCGAAATATGGCTGAACTTGGTGTCAAAAGGCAATATTTGTTATGCAGTGTTTTCTAATATGAAAAAGTCGTTCATGAAAAACTGTTCATCAGCAAGAGCATCACGTTTCAGTGAAATGGTTGCACTTTTTGTCCTGGTTTCACCCAAAGGAGGACACTTCCAATGTTTTTAATGAGGCCCTAAAGAGTTACGACCATAAATGCAAAACTAGCTTGTGAGATTTATGCTGTTGCATTTGCATCTCAGGGACGTACTTAGTGTGTCTGTGTGGCAGTAACCCACGATCCTGAGCTTTTGGTGACCCCAATAAGACCATAATAGCCTTTGATATTTCCACCGTCATATTATATAAGCGTAAGCAGGCCAATCTGATGTCCTCTGTGGAAGGCATTATTGCCCTGGGGTCAAAGGAGCCAGCAAATAAGCTGCAGTCATTAGCGCAGCTGTCCCAGGTTAGAGCTATATATAACGCCAGCTCTCCAAGGGAATTCTGGGATGTCCAGCATTTGGCATTCAGACACTGTGCTTAAATTTCCACCTGTTGCAAACTGCTAGTGATCCGAGAAAAGACTGAAATTTTAAAAAGTAATGGGAAGTGATGCGCAGCTTCTGTTATCCTCTACACCTTCTGCGATGGACTCGGGAAGGAGGGGGGGTGTCAGCTTTAATGACGGCTTTTGTTAGTTCCCTCGCTGTGCGCTCAGTACAGATGGGCGGCTTGGGAGAGAGCCACCACCTGCGCCAACCGTCACGCGGCATGGCATCTGCAAGAAGCAGAGGGCGCCTGTGTTTTTTGCCCGTCCTTGTTTCCCTGGGGACTGGGTCAGTGTGACACGCAGGGCTGATCCTCCTCTTCCCCACGAGCTGTGCTGGCTAAAAATATCCCCTGCAGAGGCGGCCGGAGCAGCAGCACGCAGGGCCCGTTGTGTGGAGGGGTCTGGGGTGGGGGGCTGGCTTCCTGCCAGGTATCACCTTAACCCACCTCTCAGAGGCTCGAGTCACGTCAGCCATCGCACAAGAAGAGTGGAGTCCGGGTGACTTTTCCACTTTTCCGGCCTCTTTCCCTCGGGAATGATTGTCGATAAAACAGGGAAGAGTTGGCCTGGATGCTCGGGGCCGTCGATGCATTCCTAACAACAGGCATGATCTGACATGCTGGCTATTAATAGCAGGCAGAGAGCTAATTCCTGCCTCATTATTTTGACACACCTAGGCACCCTGCCTCGACCCGCGGGGTTCTTCTTGTATAACAGCAGCTCCTGCTCTCGGAAGGGCACCTGGGATGCGTCCTGCAGTCATAGCTGCTTGCATGGACCTCAGGCCTCCCAAGTGTCCTGTTGCTGGGAACGGCCCTTTTTGTTACTCTTCAGCTCCTGTACCTGTCGCCCTCTGTATCTGAGGAGGTCACGTCTCGCCTATACATATTGCTAGTCTGAAGGTCTGGGCAGGATGATGGGCAATGACTGGTAGTGTAGTGTTTCAGATTGAGACACAATGAGATTTCCCTGGTTTTACCTGTGATACAGTTTATCAGGGATTGTAGTTCATTTTACACCACTGCATTCCTTTAACATAACATAGACATGCTGTGGATCCCATTAAAAGTCACTCTGTTAATTCTCTATCAATAAGGGCGACATTCTTTGATGGTGCTACTTCTGAATGGATACATTTCCATAAAACACTTGGAGGTTTCCTTCAAGGCGAGCTACAGCATTGCAGCATTAAGTGACTTCAATAAATGTTGCAGGGTTTACTGGGCTGGATGGCTTGTGTGTGGTAATCACAATCAGGGAAATCAGTGAGATCAAAGGCAAAAGAAGCCCAAATACCAGAGGAGCCCAAGCAGGGCGGAATCCATGTTTGCTACATTCAATAAACAGTGTCAGTCAAAGGTGGGACTCAAACTGCTTGATTTGTATCGCGGAAGGAAACGTGCATGATGCATGGAGGGGTGTCCTCGTGTGTGTGTGTGCGCGTGTGTCTGTGTGTGTGCGTGTGTCTGTGTGTCCCGCAGATATATCACGAATATCAGCCTCTTTGGGATCCAGAAAGTACGAAAGTTTTTCCATTTTTTCAAAAAAAAAAACTTTTTTGATGTCAGCTTTCATATGTTTGTGAATTTCTGTTTGGGTGGAGTTTGGAATACTAACTAACATATCGGTGAGAAGCCCCCACCATAGGTAAACAAAAGTGTGTGTGTACAGCGCACAGCGCACGGGCGTGCGTGTGTGTGTGTGTGTCTCTGATGGATGACGGTTCTCTAAGGCTTCAGCCAGCAGGACAAAACCGTAGGCGAGTAGATGCTTGTCTGATTTCTGAAGATGCTGTGCGGCAAGACAGGCTGGCAAAACAGACACCGGTAAGACTCACTTTGTCAGCTGGGCGTGAGCAACCTGGCAGAAGGGAGCTCCGTTTATTTATACTTTAAGCATCGCTTGCAACTTTATCATTCTTTCATTAAAGAGTGAGGTAATCTTTTCTACATGAGGGCTGTAATGTGATTTGAGATTCAGACCCAGCAAATGTGGGTGTGTAAGAGACTTATTTGTCAAAAGACTGACTTCTTTACATACCAAAAATGGCAGGAATCAAGCAAACAATTCATTTTAATTTGCACCTTTTATTTATAAATCTATTCCCCAGGTTTTCCTTGTTGCTACACAGGCAGATGGCTAAATAGTGTACATGGTTTACACAGACACGTAGAACATCACGGTCAGGAATGATATGGATTTTGTTAGGCCCCTGCCACTGATGTCACTCCATCAACTTAAGCCGTCCATTTCCAAAAATAGGGTGGTACATGCCACAGAAAAAGTGTGCTGCTCCAGTGAAACAGCTCCAACAAAGGTCAGAATAACAGAGACAGTAAAGGTCATCTGTTAGGGTCCGGCTGGCCACGTCGGTGCCTGAGTAAAATTCTGCAGAGGAGGTCGAGGTTGGAAGTCTCCACAAATCAGCGAGACACCCCGACTGATGAGCCCCCCCGCCAGCGTGAAAGGATGCCGGAAGCGACCTGGTTCATCCCGAGAACGTTGGCATGTGTCCAGATGCGAGGGCAAAGGCAGCTACGATAAATTAACGGTCCAAGACATGTGACAGGTCGATGAGAGAGCTGACATAATGTTGGCGGCTCACAGGACTGTCATATTCCTGCGACTGTCACCGGCCTGGTGTTCTGGAGCGGAAACGACGAGTTGCATCAGGCTTGGGGGTTTTAGAAGTGACCGTCGCAGGACCGCGGCACAGACTGGGCTCAGCCAAACAGCCCCAGGCTCAAAGTTATTGCGAATGAGACAAAGCTGCCTCATCTCCTGCCGTCTCGTCGACTCCGTTTTTGATTCTTGCTCGTATCCAACTACGTTGGCTGAAATCGATCAGTTAAGGCTATGGATGAACATGGGGTCACTAAAGGCAGAGTCACACGGACATTTGTGTTCAGGGGTAGAATGTCTCTAAGCAGGTCTGCTAGTCGTTGGGAGGATGGATACGTAACCGACGGCATATACAGTCCTGCTGAGTGAAACACTTGATGTTTAGCCTGCTTAACACTAAGAAAGGCAGTGTTACAGCTCTAACAGACAGGGGGCAAGGCATAATGAGGGACATGACTCAAAAATTCTCATGAGAGACATACTCATCACAGAAACGCCATCGTATTCCTCCCAGTAAGTGTATGGCACTGGACCGTCAAGAAAAACAGCTGTCCAAAGGAGGGTTTAAAACCATTCTCACCATCAACGAAAAAGTCATTGTAAACATGCACGTTGGCTACTGGGCGGCACTATCCTCTAAAATCAGGGGTCGTAAATAAAGGGCCACTATCGGCTCGCCACACGGCCCCATTTCGGGAGCCCGTAACGGAGATGTACTTGATATGGGTATTGATACCAGCCCATGTAATGGAGCAGCTCTTCCGGTGCTCGCTGTGTTTGGGAGAGCAATGTGAAAAGTGTTCCTGCGGCTGCTTCTTTAACAGGCCAGTCACACAGCCACCCAGCGGAACCATTATTTACAGTCTTTGTGCG